CATAAGTGGGAGGCAATGGCTAACACCATTTCGCCAACCCACGCTCGGCAGCGGTTGTCTTACAACAGGATAGGCATCGGGATTGCGGAGAATAAAGCACACATTCGCGAACCATGTGTGGTCAGGATGGGGGCCGAGGTTGATGGTGTCAATGGCTTCCTTTCAGCGCCTCGGGATAAGATGTTAGAAACAGGCTGGCTTGCTTTGTTTGTCATTGCAAAACCATCGGTTTCTCCCCGGATGATGATGGTGGTGCTTGGGCGTCTTACGAGGTGTTTTGAGTTTCGCCGCCCGCTGATGAGCTTGATTAACAAGTGCTGGCCAAAGTCCATGTGGTGCCGTGGGAGGCGGTTGCCTACAGCTCACATTCATGAGCTGGTTTGTGCAGTATCTCTGCTGGGTTTGGCATTGGTGGACATGCGTACGCCAGTGTCTGGTCTGGTCACCTGCTCTGATGCTTCAACGTCAGGAGGTGGGATCTGCGCGTCAAGTGGACTTACTTCTGAAGGTGTGGACTTGCTAGAGCAGTTGGATCACACCCCGTATGATGGTGAACGCTTTCGTCCCCAGGGAAGTGTTCAAGGCTACAAGTCGTCTGGTCCACGTGTTTTGATCATCTCTCTTTATGATGGCTCCAGTGGTGTTATGTGTGCCCTAACTCGGCTCGATTGTGCTGTGCAAGGGTACGCTTCAGCAGGAGGCGATTCACTCGAAAATCGTTTGTCACGCACACGTTTTCCTGGGATGATTGAGCTGGGAAGGCCCGGTGACATTGATGCAGCTACTGTTTCCAAGTTGGTATCGTCAATTGGCTATCGTCTTGACTTTGTCCTTCTTGCTGGCAGCCTTCCATCCCAGGAGTCACCTGATGTGAAAGGTCAGGCAACTCCTGGAGGCGATCACAAATCAGCCCTCAAAACCTTCACTGATTTGTATGAGATGCTCTGTACGTCTTTTGGGGTTCCGGTTCATTTGATGCTGGAGAGTCTTTTTGAGCTTCGTGAAAGTTCTTTCGCGGCTCTAAGTGAGGCTTTACAACTCAAGCCCTACTTGGTCGACGCAGCCGCCTTCACATGGGTGCGGAGGCCCAGACTCTTCTGGGTTACCTGGGAAGTCTCCTGTCTGCCAGGCGAAAGCATCGAGGACAGGGGTCGTTTTTATGTTTGGAATTTCCCGTGTAGGCGGGGATCAAGGCATGACTGGGTTGACCCAGGGTGCAAGTGCAAAGGCTCTTCCCGCGATCTGCTGCCTGTGTTTACGCGTCCTCGTGCACGGTCCTCTGCTCCCGCCAGCGCTGGTGAACTTGACTCGTTCCCCCAAGATGCAATCTCGCGCTGGCGAGGTGACAGGCATCGCTTTGATGTTTCATGTTACCTTGAACCGCACATGGTGGTTACCGCAGAAGGAGTGCTGCGCTTGCCAACGCTTAGTGAACGCGAGCGGCTCATGGGGTTCCCGGACAACTACTTCTCAGCGGGACTTCATCCTAAGCTTAAGGGTGAGGAACGTCAGACGGCGGGCTCGCAGTTGATTGGCGGAACTTTTTGTGTTTTTTCTGTGATGGTGGTGCTCGATTCCCTTTTAGAGCAGTTCGATCGCAAGGCTTCTCGACAGACCTCTGCTTTCTTCAATCGTGGGTCTGCGCCGCCCTGCTGGACAGATGCACCTGTCTTTGTGAAGCATGCGGCACACAGCGATGAAGTGACACGGTTGGTGACGCATTATTTGCGGGTTGCTGAACGAGGTGGTACTGACGTCCGACTTGATGCGGGGATTCCGTTCAGGGCTAAGGCATGGCCTCGCAGTGGGATCCAAAGTCACCTCTTCAACTGGGCTGTGGTGCACGGTTATCCATGGAGACATGTGGCTCACATTAACGTTCTTGAGCTGCAAGCCGTTGTAAATTCCGTAAAGTGGAGACTTCGCCGCTCTGACAATCTGGAGCATCGTGTTATGTTGCTGCTTGACTCTCAAGTCGTTTGCGCTGTCATTGCCAAGGGCAGATCTAGTAGCCGTCGCTTGCAACATTCTCTCAAGGTGCTGAACGCCCTGTGTTTAGCAGGAGGGTTAGTTTTGGCCATAGCTTATGTAGACACGGGTAATAACCCGTCTGACATCCCCAGCCGATGGGGAAGCAAAGCGCTCCCAAGCCAAGACCGCGCTTGACGCTGCGGGATCAGATGGTGACGGCGGCAATGCAGTTGCGCTACGCTCGTGCCGTGCTTAACTTCCTCACCTTCTTGGCGGACTCTGACTTGGCTTCTCACAAGATTTCGCACTTGTGCGATGCTGCGTCTGAATGGGTCGAGTTTCTTTACGCGGATGGTGAAAGGAAGGGTCTGGCTAGTGATGGTCTGGCGGGCTTGCAGTTCTATTTGCCGCAGTGCCATGGCAGATTGAAGCTGGCGTGGAAGCTGGTCAAAGTCTGGCAAAGAATCGAGCCGCCGATGCGTGTATTGCCTCTCAGTCCACTTGTGGTTTTAGGTATGGCTGGCTTGGCGGCAGGTGTTGGCCTGCCGGAGGTCGCAGCTGGGCTTTTGGTGTGCTTTGATGGGATACTGCGCAGTGGTGAATTCTACCAGCTGCGGGTTTCTGACGTGACGTTTTACTCTGACCGTGCGGCGCTGCGTTTAGGCCTTACCAAAGGCGGCAAGCGGACGGGCCAGGAAGAGATGGTCATCATCAACAGCTGCCTGGCGGTCCGATGGTTGCGCAAGGCTTGTGCTGGCAAGCGAGGGAGCCAGCTGGTCATGACTCAAGGTGCGGGACTTTTCCGTAAATGGTTCAAGATCCTGCTGGCTGAATTCCGGCTACATGATTTGCACATCAATGTTTATTCCTTGCGCAGAGGAGGCGCTACATGGGATTTTTTGGAGCACCAATCCATGGAGCGCACACTGCTGCGAGGTCGTTGGGCCTCGACCTCCTCAGCGCGGGTTTATCTGCAGGATGCCGTGGCCACTGTGGCTCACTTGAAGCTGGCCAAATGGCAGACGGCACTGGCCCAGCAAGCAATGGCCTTTCTTTGATTCGGCAAAGCCAGGTTGGGAACGTGAAGGGCTTCTGAGTGTGTCCTGCGACGGCAGGCGGTCTCAGTTGTTTATATGTTGTGCATTGAAGGGCTCCAGCCCGAAGGGCGCCTCTTCGCTTTCTGGAAGCCTGGATGCAAAGCATTGGCTCTTCACTTGGAGACTTTGAGATGGAATGCATCTCTCTTCAAACCACTCCTGGCGTGATGGAGAAAAACAGTCTCAACTCAGCCACATGGAGTCATGCGAAGGTAAAGACACTTCTTGACGTAGCTTGTGTTTGTGTTGAGGGAGCAGTGTTCGACACAGGCCGCTCATCGTAAGATTTGCTCTCCCACCCACCCGCCCGGTGGATTCGGTTCCGACCGGGGGGGTCGGGGCGAAGGGCTTCTGAGTGTGTCCTGCGACGGCAGGCGGTCTCAGTTGTTTATATGTTGTGCATTGAAGGGCTCCAGCCCGAAGGGCGCCTCTTCGCTTTCTGGAAGCCTGGATGCAAAGCATTGGCTCTTCACTTGGAGACTTTGAGATGGAATGCATCTCTCTTCAAACCACTCCTGGCGTGATGGAGAAAAACAGTCTCAACTCAGCCACATGTTTTTGTGTGTTTTGAGTGTTTGAGGTTCTCGCACAGTTGGTGCATGCTGCGGAGGGGCACTATGGGCGCCCAGTTCTAAGACAATTTATCAACTCGAGGGGGGAACGATGTGCGATTTTTTGATTTTTTCGTTGGGGAATGTGAAACTATGGGAGTGTTTCAGCTAATTTTTGTGTGCATTTTTTTTTTGCAAATTTGGGCGTGATGTGGGTGTTGGAGATATTCGCACAGTTGGTTCGTGCTGGGGAGGGGGAATCATGAGCACATTTCTCGAAATTTTTTCGATTGGGAGGGGGGGACTTTGCACGTGCTGGGGAGGGAAGAATCATGGGCTAATTTATTTAAGTTTTTTTCGATTGGAAGGGGGGAACCATGGGCGAATTTTCAGATTTTTTGTCGACGAGGAGGGAAAAACTGTGTGTCTTGGGTGTTTGAGCTTCTCGCACAGAGGACTCATGCTGGGGAGGGGCTACGCATGAGTGCATTTCTCGATTTGCTTTTCGATAGGGAGGGGTGAACTATGGGCGCATTTTTTTGGATGGGGAGGGGAACACAGGGTGTTTTCTAAGCATATTTTTTTGTTTTGGACGTTTGAGCTTTTCGCGCAGTTGGTGCATGCTGTGAAAAAGGGTACTATGGGTGCAGTTTGCTGACAATTTTCAAGCGAAGGGAGGGACTACGCGTGATTTTTTCTGTCGATGGGGAGGGGGAAACTATGAGAGTGTTTTAAACTTTTTGTTTTTGTTTCTTAAGACAAATTTGATAGTGTTTTGGACGTTGGAGATTTGCACATTTAGTTCATGCTGGGAAGGGGCGAAACATGAGCGCGCGTCTCGAATGTTTTTCGATTGGGAGGGGGGGAACTATGGAGGTGCTGGGGAGGGAGGAATCATCGGCTAATTTGTTGAAGTTTGTTGGATTGGGAGGAGGGAATTGTGGGCGATTTTTTGATTCTTTTCCGATGGGGAGGGGGAAACTATGGGCGCTTCTTTAGCAAATTCTTGTGTTTTGGGTGTTTGAGCTTCTGACACAGTGGACCCCCAGGGCTAGATTCACGCATGTTTTTTTAGAGTTTGGTTCCGGGTTTAGGGCAGCCTCTAACACTCCGCACCTGGTCCGCTGGATTCGTCCGCTTCTCGCAGACGCAGATTACGTCCAATGTGGGGGAATTGTAGGCGCATTTTTCGAGTTCTCGATGGGAGGGGGAAACTATTGGCATGTTTTGTTTGTTGTTTTTCGATTTGAGTGTTTGATCTTTCCGCACAGTGGACTTATGCTGGCGAGGCATGGAATCATGAGCGCATTTATCGATTCTTTTGGGATTGGACTTCTTGAGTCGCTTTGTTTTTCCTTTTCCAGCTGCGCGAGATTCGCAGGAAAGAGAACGAGGACGTCCATGCCTTCGCAGGCACCACAGGAGTGGTGGTCCTATTGATGCGCACACAAAGTGTAGTGGAGTGATCTCGCGATATGTGCTGCTCTCGACGTTCATCCACTAGGACTCCGGAGATTCAATTTCTGTCCCTGGCAATGCCATCGATGTGATGAAGGACCGTCAGAGTTCCAGCACGTCCTTTACAGTGAAGCGCCGCATCTATGCCGCTTTGTGCAGTTGTGCCTGAGGGCCGGTGTTTTGCTTCCTCCGATCAGCTGTGGTGGTAGCGACGGCAGCGACTTCCAGGAGGCGAGAGCTCGCGCGGAGTGCTGGGGTCCGTTCTGCGAAGGTCCAGGAGTTCGGAGGGTTTAAGAAGGACGTAGGCGTCTGTGTTTCTGGATGGCGGAGGCGTCATCGGGCGAGCTGTTCGGAAGCACAGTCGAACTTGAGACAGGAAGATGGGCTTGAAAGGTTTAAAGGCATCTGCGTTTTCCAACGGCAGAGGCGTCATCGCCCGAGCTGTTCGAAAACTTAGCTGAGAACTGTAGCATCAGTTAGCGGTCAGAGGGTGGAATTGAAGGGTTTCCTGCAAGTTGTGTGTTTCAACGGCAGAGCGACATTGCGTGCATGCTCCACGCTGTGTTGCATCCGATGTAGGGTTTTCGAAGAGAAGCGCAGGCGCGAGTGCTCGGAGTTGGTGTTTGCCTTCTTTTCTCAAAGGCCGAGGTCCGAGACGACCCTTCTCGCTCGGAGTGCATCATCCCAGCATCAGGTTGTTTGCGTGACATGTGGGCACTCGAATTCTGCTGCGCCCTCGTGTCCCTTGCTTTGTTGCTGCGAACGAGGTCTGCGTGATCGCTGCAAGTAATATGGCTGTTGCAGTTGCAGTGTCTCGAGCTTTTCAGTTGCCGGTGGGATTTGCTAGTCTCTCGAAATCTTGGCAGAGGTGTGGGCATCTCAAATCCTGCCAGCAGCGCTGTTTCGTCGTGCAGCAGACTTGATCAATGAACACACAAACAAGGGTCAGCACCTTCACCGGGCCTTTTATGGTAGATGGTGTCTGGCGTGAAACAGCCACATAAACTAGCATGGAAACGCCTGAGCTTCTGGGGCCTTGAAGGGTTTTCATTGCCTGAAAGCTTAATACATCAAGTCGTAGACTCACATACTTCATTCTCAGGCACCAGATTTTGATCACGTTCAGTTCATTCGGAAGGCGGTAGGAGGACGCAGGCCTCCCCAAGACGCAGTGAGTGTTGCTGTTAGCTATGCTCGAGTTCCTCCTGTGCTCGCGACGTGACGCCGCGAAGTGTGAGCGCCTTGGAAGTAGCTCGAGTCTCGAAGCGCAGACAATGCGCGGACTCCCCCGGAGCATTAGCCGAGGGCACAGAAGCACAGAGAGGGAGGCTCCTGACGTTTGCCGCTGCTGTCCTTCGTTCGCATCGGTGTGGTCGCACACCTCGTGTTTTCCGTTCGTCGTTGTCGGTGTTGTGGCAGGTAGCTGACTCTGTGACCTGTGTGTGTGTGTGTGTGTGTGTGGATTGGGCAGACGAGAGATGGGAAGAGGAGAGGCAGCGACAGAGAAAGCGATCAAGAACATCAAGAAGCTGATCGGTGAGCATGTTAGATTTTGCAGAACATGGTCAGTTTCCATCCGCGGCTTATACTGGAATTTGCCATGAATCGCACGTCCCTGCAGGTTGGGGTCGAACGAACGCGATTTTTGTCGACTGTAGTGGCTTTTGGCAACGCTGACATAATGCAACGTTCAATTCGTTTGCAGGACGGACCAAACCCGTGTTGGTTAATGCTTGAAATAGTGCCTAGAGGGTCTCGCTCTGGATAACCCACAGCGAGCAATGTGTGTGGAAGTTCTGGAGGAGTGCTAGAGGAGGTTGTTGTTTGCAGGACGGACCAAACCCATATTGGTAAATGTTTGAAACTAGTACCCAGAGGGTCTCGCTTGCAAGCGTAGCTTGTCATGGAAGCTCACGGGCGTGGCTCCGCATTGAACAATGACTGTGACGTGAGAGTTCTGGAGGGGTGTCAGAAGGGTGTCGTTTGCAGGAGAGTTTGTTTGCGGATAGAACCCGTATTGTTTAATGTTTTGTTTGAAATGCCCGGAGGAGTAAAAAGAGGGTCTCGCTTGCAAGCACAGGAGTGTCGTCAGCAGGAGGGTTTGTTTGTGGATAGAACCCGGCCGTACTGATGAATCTTTGGAAGTCCGAAGAGGTGCCAGGAGGTTCTCGCTTGCAAGCATAGCGTGTCATGGGAGTTCACGAGCTTAGCTCCGCATTCCAGAGGTGTTAACCCGTAATGGAAATAAACTCAAAGCTCTGTAAAAGTCCCAAGAGGGTCCTGTTTGCCGGGATAACCCGTATTGACCAATATCTATGCAAGTTCTGGAGGAAAGGGTGTGCTTTGCAGCAGAGGTTGTTTGCGGACAATACCTGCATTGCCTATTGTTTGACATTTCCGGCGCCGTGCCAAGAGGTTCTCGTTCCATAGATTTTCATGGGAATTCACGAGTTTCGATCAGCATGCTGAAATTTCAGGAGGAGTACCAAGAGGGTCTCGCTTGCAGGCAGAGACTTTTATGGGAACTCACGAGTTTATCTCAGCATTTCGGAGGCCGTGATGGACATCAAATAGACAGGGTCTTGTTTGGGGGGACAACCCACGATCTCGAACAATACCTGTGAAAGTTCTGGCGGAGTTCCAGAAGGGTGTCGTTAGAGAGTATGTTTGCGGATCTAACCCGTCTTGATTAGTCTTTGAAATGTCCGGAAGACTACCAAGAGGGTCTCGCTTGCAAGCATAACGTGTTATGGTAATTCAGACCAACATCTGTGAAAATTCTGGAGGAGTGCCAGAGGAGAGTGTCGTTTGCAGGAGAGTTTGCTTGCGGATAAAACACGTATTGATTAATCTTGGAAATCTCCGGGTACCAAATCATTGAAATCTCCGGCGGAGTACCAAGAGGGTCTCGCTTGCAAGCTTAGCGCGGCCTTACTAAGATGTTCCCTTAAGCGGAGCTCTTCTGCAGGATCGTCGCCCGGTCAAGATTGATTACAGATTGCGGCCGGCTGCGGCAGAAAATGGGAGTGACTGCGCCTATCAGGATTGGTGTCGACAATGCCCGAGTTTCTGAGGAGGAAAGAAGCACATGTTACAAGCGACCTCATGCAAACCGGGCCGCAGCTGTTTCGCAAGCTCGTGCTTGACATGGTGTGAGCTTTGCCAGCATGTGCATCGATGTACATGTCTGGTTTTGCAACATGAATGCATTGGAACAGCCGGCAGCCGAACGCAGAACACTGGGATGCTAATACCAAGATATCATTTTCCCAGTTTGTCGATCGAGCCTCATGGTATGCTTGAGATCAAATGCCAAGGTCGGGTGAGTCCCTGCTCGAATACTGCACTGATGCAGCATTCCGGTTTTGCGGGCCAGTTCTTGAGAGTTGTCGGCGATTCTTCTGAATTACTATGACTTGCTTTCCCTTAAATCCTCCGCCAGAGAAATGCCAAAAGAAGGCGCCAGGAGGAAAAATAGGAGCGCGCAAGTGGCATCACAGGGAAGAGAACCCGAAGAAACAAACCTCCAAACCCTCAAATGAACTCTTTCACCCAAATTAGTGCCCGAGCAGGCATAGAAATTCAAGAAGCGAGCGAACCCTGGACCCTTGCTTCTCTTGAAGTGGTAGGCGCCAACCTGGCGCGGGTCTTCAGCATCTGGGGCTCCCAGTCGCCTTGGGCGGAGGCGAGGGGTTAGGGTTTTAGGGATGTGAAGGCTGCGGAACTCGAAATCTCCAAGTTAGAGAATACTGCTAAGGGTTTAGAGGCTAATACGGGTTCGTAATTAACCAGGCTCGTCGAAGCCTAAAGGGAGGAACGAGATTTCTTGGAATGGTTTTTGTGACATAACGTTTGGCTAATTACAGTAGGCATGAGCGATGTCATAATAGCGCCTGGTGCAGGCGGGACGTAGGATGCTAAGCAGGCCTGGTAGGGTCTGTATTGAGGAACCAAGCCGGTCGGGTTCTGGATATCGACTTTTATTGACATTAGGCCACAGTTACAGGAAGACTTCATAGAACCCGTGCCCCGCAAGCCACATACGCCACATATGCCCTGGGCTCTAGGCGATGACCGTGAAACCTATGATGCCCTATAACTGCACGCGCGCAGCGAACCCACTATCGAAAGCCCCGGGCGAACTTCGTCGCCCCAATCCCAGACAACCCCTAAACCGGTATCCTCGGCAATCCTTGAAGCCCTTCAGCAAACTTTAAAGCTGTAAAGCCAAAACCCTCCCCTCCCTACAGGAAAGCAAGCCAAACGCCTTTCTTACTAGCCTATCAAAGCCTCTGTCTCTGAAGCTAAAAAGCTTTAAAAACTGGGGCAGCCCTCAGGTCGATCTTGATGGAAAGCTCGTTCTTCGCACCAGGCCCCATCAAGGCCGGGACAGCTGCGCTGGTGTTCGGGCTTTCGGGCTTAGGCCTTTTTGGTCCAGGTTTTAGTTTAGGTTTACTTTTTTGGGATCAAAGTTTAGTTAGGATGTTGAGGCTTTGGTGTTTCGGGCTTTGGGTTTGGACTTCAGGATTCCATTCAGGCTTCTCTCTCTCTCAGTCGGGCAGAGCGTGTCCACAGGTGAGACCGCTCGTCAGCAGCCCTGTCAATGGGAATAATGTGCGGGGAAAACATAAAGTCGGCGGAAGCATACAGCTTGGGGAACAAGTTCCGGAAAAACTACATACACGATGGACATGTCTATACAGGGCTCTTCGCTACCCTTTTCGGGTGAGACGATGGCAGGACTAGGGTAAATTTTCCGGCCACCGTGGGGAAAAGCTTAGTCAGAAAGGACGCTTCTAGAGTCGCTGGTAAAGCTCACCCGACGCACAAGGGGAATTCGTGACCACTCGCCGATAAAAGATGGATCACCTGATAAGTCAGTTGACGTTGGTGTAAAGCGTGGGAAGGCCGTGGTCCCCCGGTTCGCCTCATGTCGGCTCCCCTAGACAGCTTTGTGGAATACTTCAAACGGGGCAACTGCTAAGTTGGAGTCAATGTCATCCAGTGGGAAGTTGCTGTGCAAGCTTTGACAGATCAAAAGTATGGTCATCCAGAAGTGTGTCCCGTCGTACGGTGTAGACATGCACCTGCA